CTACCTTCTCCTCTCTGTCAACGCTCTCTGGTTTCATTTAAAAGTCTTGTGACGTCCACGGCCTACCCCAGATACCACTGCTGTGCATGTGTGTCAAGGACAGAAAGGCAGATGTGGCAGTGGAAGGTGTCAAAGCAGTTTGGAGAGAAAAACAAAGTAAAGAACAAAAAAAGAAAACGATTAAATCTATTATTAGATTAGTCATAGATTATTTTAATAATCAATTAGTCGTCGATTGATCGATTAATCGTTGCAGCCCTAACCCTGAGGGCCACTAATTCTGCATGTTTTATCAGTTTCTCTGCTCCAACACACCTGATTCAGTGACTGAGTTACCTTTTCATGTTCTGCAGAAGCCTGGTAATCACCCGTTATTTAAATCAGGTTTGTTGGTGGGGCAGAGGAACAGGTAAAACATGTATAGTGCCCCTCCAGGACCAGGATTGTTCACCCCTTTGTTAATCTAACCCTCAAGCCTCAGAGACCTTGAGGGCAGCAGGAGGGTTAATTGTTACGCAGTCCTTTAAGGAATAACGGACATTGTTTTTCCAGGACAGAGACTTCAGGATAAGAATCCTGCTTCCACCAGATCAGCAGCTGAAAAAAGCCAAGTACGAACTTCTCTTTTCTTACATATTTATCGAGGCGTATCTATGAAGCTGAGGTGATGCGTGTGTAATTTATCCTAACTTTGTTCCTACAGGCTGCACTGCTGTTGGCAGCTAAAACACCTGTTGAGAGAATATGAGCAGATAGTGAAGCAGGTAATCATTTAATCAACTGAGATCTTCCATCACTGGTTACAGTCCATTTTGATGTGTATTTCTTATGTGTTTTTATTGCTACGTCATCATGCCTGACGCCCTTTGTCCTTCTTCTTCCACCCGTCAGTCCGGCCTTACTCTAGAGCTGAAAATATAATTCACTGTTTAATTACCATCACCTGGAAAATGTCCCTATTTGTTATGTGGGCCCTCTGGGTTATTTGGATGAGATTTATATTTCACCCTGGGCTTCAAAGTTCATTATTTTCACAGCCTTTAAGCTATCATTAATTATTAAAGTGGGTGGCAGCCCACATTAATCACAAACACTGTGTTTGATTTGACTGGGTGGCTAAGAAAAAATAGACACTGTCACTTCATTATCCCTCCATTCAAGGATGTCTTTTGTCCCCTGTGTGACTTTTTCAGAGGCTGCAGCAGTCTGCTGATCTCTCCAGTTTCATCCTGGAGCTGAAGACTGTTTTGGTAAAAAAAAAAAAAAAAAGAAAAGCTTATCAGTTGAAACTTTTGTCAATGTTGTACATAAAAAGTATGTGGCAAAGTTATGAAGTGATTTTTCAGATTAACCCAGGCCTAAAATAAGGAGCCCTCTATGCGTTTGTTGTAGGAGGTGTGCCTGAAGAGCCATCCCGAGTGCCGCTCCATGCCCCCTCCTCAGTATTACTCTCAGCTCATCTCAGAGATGGAGACCCTTGGATGGGACAAGTAAGTTACAGGTTAAGGAGACGGATCAATTCAGTTTTTTATATATATATATATATATA